TTTTGATTCTTCAAGAGATACTTACTTCTTAAACCATTTTTTTTTTTTTATTTTTACACGTTTTCTCTAAATTTTAACATATTTCTACTCGACTTATGGAAATTTGTTATATATTTTCTTTCAGTGTTATCGCGAAAATCAAAAAAAAAACTGTCGTTTTGCATTATACCTTATTTTAAACTGCAAAAAAAATTGAGTCGAGGCAATCGATTTTTTTTTATTTGTTTAGTATAATTTACTTTATTTATTATTTTGTGCAGAAGCACTAAATAATTAAAAAGTTATAAAATTATTAGTATGATTATTTTTCACTTCCACTGATTTTAACTAGAACTCTCTATTTAACTTTTATTCATTTTTAATCAGTGGAAGTGAAAATATGACAAATGAAAATTAAAATCAGTGAAAGTGAATGTCAAAATTAGAATAAGTGAAAGTGAAAACGAGAGAAAAAATTTCGAATAAGTGAAAGCGAAAATAAGAATCAGTGAAAGTGAATGTCAAAATTAGAATTAATGAAAGTGAAAATTTCGAATAAGTGAAAGCGAAAATAGGAATCAGTGAAAGTGAATATGAAAATTAGAATTAGTGAAAGTGAACATTAGAATAATTGGGGGTGTAAGTGTAAACAAAAGTGAAAATTACAACCAGTGGAAGTGAAAATCTATTACATAATTTTCTATATATATATATATATATATATATATATATATATATATATATATCAAATACGATAAATTTTTATCTAAATTAATTACAAATGAAATGTAATAGTTTCAAAATAGTTACTTTAGAAAATGAAAAGAAAAAACCACTTAATTAAAAATATTTGACAATGTTTCTATTTCTGCTAATAATGAACCAATAAAAATATTTTTCTACTATTAAAATTCAACTTTTATTTGAATTATTACCTTTATTATTGAATCTCGATACTTTCCGCGAATATATAGAATGTATATAGTCGAGGAAAATAATCCGTCAGTAAATATTAATTGACATTCGATATTTATTGATACACATATAGTATAACTACAACGTACTAAACAATAAAAAAAAAGTTCAACAAAACAAGATGGTCAGCAATTTGTATCTTATATCAAAAGGCGCTAATTACATTTTTATCAGTTAGAAGGAGAGGAGGAATAAAGAAAAAAAAAAGAATAAAGTAAAAATCCAACAAACCCCCTCCCCCCACCCTTTGGTTTGTGTTCAAGAGCACTATGAATCATAGTATACACACAGAGTGGTTGGGTAGGTTGGTGATGATGGTGTCCATGGGGGGTGAAAGGGGTGTTGGTCCAGTGTTGGAGAGTGGGTGCCTGACAGAATGAATAGCAACGTGAAACAAAAGCGCCAGTTTACAAATGGCGTGTATTCACAACGGCATTGTTTTAAATGGCTGCCAACGCTTGGAATTTATTCCATTTTGCGACATGACAAGTGCCGTTAAATTTATCTATTCAACCGAAACACGTATCCGTTATAATTATAAAACGACTGAAATTTCAGGTCGTTTAATATTAACGCGCATATATATATATATACCATCATATCGTATTGTATACACCGGTTTGTTATTCAGTTGATATATATATATATATATTATTTTCTCTCACATATTGTCCGCAATGATAAATCGCATTTTATCTTAAAGACGAAGGTGGTTTTTGCTTTGAGGATTGAAGGTGGCTCGGAGGGGGGGGGGGAGCAATTCTGGACCGCGTTAATTCTTAATTTCTTAATCTCCAGTCGACCGCCAAGTACTGTTAGGAGGGGACTAAAGAGGCCTTCCGGTTCATATCTAACCATCCATTCTCCCTCTTCTGCGGCTCAAGATTAAAGTTGAAAGTTGAAAGGCAGTGCAATTAAGCCTTCCCTTTCGTCGGACGTCCGCATTCATTTTTCAAGAACCGACTCTCTGGACATCTTCAGTTTGAATCACGTTCCCTTTGGCAAGTGTATGGAAGTGAAAATTAAAATGGAAAACCTTGAGGTTATGTTCCTTTCGTATACTTTGTTTTGTTTTCAAGATATTTGTATATCATTCAGAATTTTTTTTTTTTTTTTTTTGTTTGCTCCAATTATATATATTACCAAAAAAATGTCAAATTCGACATTTTTTTAAATCACGAGTAGTGTGCATGACATTAACCCCCACTCCTGGAGATAATTATTCTGGATTGTAATTTTTGCCCTCGAATCACAAAAAAGAATCCCTATTTCTGATTGGTGAATGACGCGCATGCGTCAGGGGTTCTCAACACACTTTTCTTTCCATTCAAAAACGTTCTGGAAATAAATATAATGCATTACCAGCAATACCATTAGCTTTATCAGTATAGTGGTTTCTTCAGCTTGTATTCGAGCATCCTGAAAAGTGGAGGACACTGAGATAGTCATCAGAAGGGGTTCGTTCTGGTCTAAAGGAGGCCAGAAAACGATATGAGATTACGACACAACTACAATCTTATAAATATATATATATGCTTCTTTGAGATAGTTATCATACTCGAAATCAGGGAATGAATATATATAATATATATATATATATATATATATATATATGTGTGAATCAACAAAAGGTGATTTTATCTCAAAAAAAGAGGGAAAGACATCTTTAAAAACCTGCATTTCGACTACAATATTAGCCACAAATTTTCTTAAAACAAAAATCTAAGGGAAAATAGTATCTCTCCAGTCAATATTGAGGATCAATCGCTATCACGATTTGAAGAGAGATCGAGCTTTAACGAGACTCCAGATGGACTTGGTGTTACTTGGAATCAGACAGTTTCATCTTGGATCAATATATACACCTAGCAGTGTGCCACTTAACTCTACTGAGAAAAGTAGCTTTAATATCGTACGTTGGGAAAAACCTGTAGGCTTTCTGCGTAATGGATTTGCCACAAGGCACACACAGACTTAAATGCAAGAAAGATCTATAAAGATATAGAGCTTGTGCACAGCTATAGATACATTTCTTTTTTTTTTTTTTTTTTTTCCTCTTTTTCTTTTTCCCTCTCGTGTAAATTATCAATATTCTAAAGGTTATGTCTATGACTTTCTGACCTCAAATTATAGCTTTTTATAGATGTGGAAAAAAAAAGAGTCGCACAATTGTAGATATTCTCTATATAAAAATTAAATCAATTTTCAATTTTGTATTTAAAAATTAACTCGAGGATAAATCCAATTGAACTTTTTTCCAACTTTATTATTGCACTTTTCAACTTTAATATAATATATATAGCAAATTGAAAAGAACTCTGTAATATCTGCAGGAATATAAGTTCGATCTCATCTGATCTGAAATGATCAATTTTAAGAATTCTAGAATCCTCTGAATAATTTTTTTTTTTTTTTTTCTCTCTTGTTGGAAAATTCACAATCACTTACTACTTGAATTCTCCTATAGGTCTCAAGAGACTGCTATCGATCCTGAGGTATTTGAGAATGAGAGAGGAAAAAAAAATGAGTATAAGGGAATGAGAAATGTGGAGAACTTGGAATCAGAACGTGAATTACAGGAGAATAACTGTTTATGAGTTTTAGCAGCCAAACTGATATAACAAAATTGAGATTGTACCAATAGATCTTTAAATGAAAATTTACGATGTGCCTTATGTAATGATCTTTATGCGCCAAAAATTTTTTTCACATCAATCATATTATTTTCAATAATTCCATCTTTCTGGTGAAATATTTACCAAAAAAAAATAAAAATTTATATCGTTTGTAGTTAAACGAAAATAATTATAATATGAAAATTTTAGTACCCATTTTATTGTCCAATAATGATAAAATTACTACAGCAAATATTTATAATTGGTTTTAATGACTAAAAATGATTACAAAATGTTCATTTCATAATTTAACGAATCTGTTTTATTAATCAAAATCGAGAGAGATTTTCCAATCCAATACACAAAATATGTTTGGAAATAAATATATATACAATATACAAAAAAAATGATAATGAGTAAGAGAATTAAGAATTATTTGTCATCAAAAATAAAGTTAGTATTCGAGTAATAAATCACACGATGGTAGCCACCCACTGTTAATGATTTACTCAATTAACAAACACGATACGTGCAACCTCCGGTCGAAAGAGATAAATTGAAGGGCCTTAATTAAATTGTGATTTAATGTTACGCCATTATTTCTATTTAAAAAGCAGGTCTATATATAACAACTGCAAATTCTCATAAGTGAATTTTAATTTTTTTCCTCCCCTAATGAAAACGACATTATCAAAAATTGTTACACATAAATAAATAAAAAAAAAATTCAATTTTTGAAACTCGATACTTATTTAGAATTTTGTATATCCCGTCAAAATTTGCACATATACACTGTCTCATTATATGAGTCATCAAACGCATTGTTACTGCATTCACTATGTGCGTCATAAAATAATGTTTTGATTATTAATTAGCGGTTTCAATATTTCACTGAGATTTTGTCAACACACAAAGGGAGATATTTAGTGATTGATGGTCATCCGAATCATCAGGTTTATCATCATAGCGTTACATACAGTGCTGCCAATTAGCCAGCCAATTCATTTAATAATTATTAGCTCGTACTGAATTGTATAATTTACGAATTCATTATTCGAAAATATTCCACAAATTAGAATTGACACTACGCTTTAATTGAATTCTCTGACATAATTATTTGTCAATGTGAAAATTTTAAATAAGAAATGTTAATTTACTTTATTGATATATTCATATTAGCATTCACATTGATTTTAACTTTCATTTTTATTTTTTATTTTTAGTGAAAAAATTTCATTAAAAGTGAAAGTGAAAGTAAAAATGAAAGTGAAAATGAAATTTATTGTCAATGTGATAATAAAAGTGAAAATGAATTTACATAATCATACTCCTCTTTGCATATGTTAATAAAAGAAAAAACTTGGAATTAAATTGTAAAATTTAAGCGATTCAAATGGTTTTTGTATGATAAAAAAATTTAAGAATGCTTACCGGTCCAAACTGTTCGAAATAGTTTTTGACGTCCTCCAGCGTCGTCGGCGCTGATAAGCCGCCGACAAATATTTTCTTTGTCCTTGTCACCATCTATAAAAGAAAAAAAAAAGAGTATTACATTTTAATAATGTAAACTAATTGTAAATAATATATGATTATAATGACAAAATAGATTTAACACTTTTTTCAAGTTACGATGTCAAAAATTTTTAAACCAGTTTTTTTAAGAAAATTCAGATTTTTTTTTTTTTTTATTGAAAATTAGGTTTTAGTTTTTACTAAATTTTTAAATTTACTAAAATATAAGAAAAATTTTATTCAATTTTGAAAAACAAATCAAAATGTTAATAATAATTTTCTTAAACTTGAAATCGTTGGCCCCTTAATAAAAAAAAAGTTTTGAATTTCAGTTTTTTGTAAATATTTATAAAAAAAAAAATAATATATATCAGACAGCAAAATGAAGTTCATAAAATAAATTTTTCAATTTACTCTGCAATAATTTCTAGTTTAAAAAAATTATAATCAGTTCTTTGATTTTGGACCTTAAATTCTGAAATTTCTGTCACTTTACACGATTGAAACTTTAAAGATTAAACATTTGAAATATATTATAATTTGAAAAAATTTCAATTTTTTTATTTTACGTTCTTTTCATCACTTTGTGTGTAACACGTAATTCATATACTGCGTAGAACATCGAATAAATTTTTTTTATTTGAAACTAGAAAAAACAAATAAATTCCAGATGTTCGGGAATGTTTCATAGGCATTTTTATCATTTCCGCGATAAAAAAAAAAAAAAAAAAAAATGTTATGTGACATTACATTGGACACGCGAGGAAGAGTGTAACGATCGTGCGCCAATGTAGTACCTATATTTCAAATACTTGTTGCATGCATTCGAAACATTAATGTAGCATGAAAAGCAAAGACTCTGGCAAAGAATTTCAACTAGCCTATTATTATTAATACAAAAAGGGACACACTTTCAACGATGAGAGAGAAAAAATTTATTAAATATCCATTAATTTAATATTCCATTGTTGTTGTCAAAAGAACACTCAAAAAACATATTTCTTTAAATCAAAGAAATTTTTCTTTGATCCAAATCACAAATTTCTTTCATTCAATGAAAATTAATCTTTGTAGCAAAGTATCTTTTTAATATTAATTTAAAAAAAAAAATTAACACCAGAATGAAAAAAAAAGAAGGAAATACATTTTACAAATTGTAACTCATCCATTCGGTTAGGTTTTATGTTACTCTCAGGACCACGGCACTTTATTGTATTGACCTCTATAAAAAATGCGTTGATTTCTGTTCTATTGTAAAAGTAGAGAGGTCGTTAAATTGAATGTGAAAGAAATCGAGTTCTGAGTATAGTTATTCCCTGGAGATCAACGTGGACTGTTGTAGCGTCTTTTATATTTTGCAAATTGCATTTCACTTTATATGAGTCTTTTGATGTCTCTTTGGCACTTTGCGAACCTCAACAAAACACATTGTCCTTGACCAGAAAATTTTAAATTTTACAGCTACCTTGTATAAATTTCAGTATCGCACGCTCGCAATGTTTTACTCTGTTTCCCTATAGTAACCGCTGACGCTCAAAATAACGGTGAAGTAAACGTGAAAAGCGATACACCTGATAAAAAACATCGCCTGAGCTTTTCAAGGGAAAAAAAAAGAAGAAAAGAAGAGAGTGAAGAAAAAAAAAAGATAGTAACATGAGAAAGATAGGATACAAAATGGAAAAAAGGAGAGTGAGAGAGAGAGAGAGAAATCATCTCAACGTTACTTTCACATCCCTCGAGCGAACCAACTTGTTTTTACGAGCGACGTACGTACTTCTCGATAGTTGGAAAAGCGAGGGTCGTATCTTGTTCAATAGCTCGCACAGAAAGGAAATTCCTCACAAGCTTCTTTTAAATTAAAGTCTTACAGATTTTTTTACATCGCTCTTTTGTCGCATGTACAAGGGAAAATATTTTTAAAGTCTTGTTTTTGCACTCACTCAGAAATCCAGTCACTTAGAAAAAAAAAAAAAAAAAAAAAAAAAAACTCTTTAAAATATCCAGAATCTTATAAATAAATTGATTATTCTTCTAAATTCTCATTTTATTAAACTTCAATTTGACCTAAATTTCAAAAATTCTTCTTAAAAATTATTTTCCAACTTTTTATCATCAATAATTCAAAAATAATCTCTAGAGAACCATAAAAAAAAAAGTTCAAAATGATTAATGAAATTTAAAAAAAAAAGGAAAAGTATAAACATTATTATGAGAATTTCTGGAATTGTAATTTAGAGAAAGAAAAAAAATATTTAATGGCCGTGTGAAGTTTTTCAGCATTAACAGGAGGCTTTTTACCGTAAAAGACGAGAGAAGGATGAAATACCCAAGAGAGGGATGTTACGCTCGAAGGAAAGTTGAGGGGTGGAGAGATGTGAAAAAAAGACATGAGATGAGCGGGTCCGAGACGCGGAAAAATGTAAGTCGGACTTGTTTTTCCCCATTCTTTTTCTTCATTCGAGTTTTCGATGTTTCTCGTTTTTTTTTTTTTTTTTATACCCTTCTGTCATTCAATGAAGAGACGTGGAAAACTATTCGTCCGGACAGAAGTTTGTTAAATAAAAGCAGACGTCCATCTTTTGCGTTCAAAATAGCATTTGACATATATATATATATATATATATATATATATATATATATATTTTTGTGAAACAAAGACGCTTTTACACACGGGTATACCGAACGCCATCTACGTTATAGTTGTAGAGCGCGCTGTATGGTCTCGAAAATTCCAATAGCTTTCCACTCTATTTAGTTTAATCAATTATTTTCTGTCAGCTTTTGTTATTTAGAGATGTACTAATTTTTTTTGATAATATCGCAGTTGCTACAGAAAGGATGAAAATTTACAAATTAAAAATTTATATTCAAAAACAATGAGAATTATTATTGAAAGTTAAAATTAATATTTAACTAAAAATAAATTTCATACTATATTAAAACATTTCAATTTTTCATTACATGAATTTATTAAATTAAATCAAAAACAAAAAAAAATATCAAATAAGTTTTCCCTTTTTATAAACTTTATAAAATTATTTTTAATTTACGGTTTTTAAATAATTTTTGAAAATTAAGACATAAATACATACAAAATAAATACAAATATAATACTAATACATAGAAACCAAAAAAAAAATTGTTTTTATTAATAATTAAAATTAATTAATTAAAATGGATAGCATTATAAATTTAAAAAAAAAACAGACAACTTCCTAATTTCAAAATTATATTTTTATTTTAGCTTAATATTTTTAAAACGTCTATAAAAATAATATATGTGACGCGATATGAAGAATGGGATCTGAAGCAAAAAAAAATATAGGTTATGTTTTTAAATGAAAATACCCAAAGAAGATCAACTCTCAATATACAAACTATTGACTTTTTTAAGTTTTTATTACATTAAAAATATTCAATATATTATATAGTTTAGTTTTTAATTGGATATTCAATAAAAATTGATTTTTATTTTAGATGAATAAAAAAAATTTTTAATCAAGGTAAAATTTTCGTAAACATAACCTATATAATGAGTTTGCTTCTTAGGTCCTTTTCTTTATATCGCGTCACATATTAGCAACAGAAAACTTAAAAATTTCTTTATATATTGCATGTAATTTAAATTTTCCCGCCAAGTTATTTTGAAATATTTCAATTTTTCATGTAAAGGCGCTCTCACACCTTTTTGGCTGCCTGCAGGTTACCATGGCAACGCATGAGAGTGAGTGCGACAGAAAATTTAAAAATTTGAATATTCAAATTTTCTGTCTCACTCACACTCGTGCGTTGCCATGGTAACCTGCAGGCAGGCAGGCAGCCAAAAAAGGTGTGAGTGCGCCATAATATTTCACGAAACGAAAATTTCATATTTTACATTCCTAGATGGCATTTACCATCAATTCTGAATTAAGAAATACTAGACAATTAATCCACAGAAAGCCTAAAGTCATCTAAAAACACAGAAAAAAAACTGTACTCAAAATGAGTACGAAATCATACTCATTTTGATATGCAGCAAAAATGATAACGCTCTTATTCATTTTGAGTTTTCAGTGAAAAAATATCAAAATGAACAACGTCAGTTTCATTTTGAGTAAATGTTTAACTATGAATTATAGATAAATAACAAATGATTATTTAATTTAAAATAGTACTAAAACAATTGTTTTTCATAAATAAACACTTTTAAACTAAAAAGACTTTAATTCTTAAAGTCAATTTATTATTATTTATAAAATAAAATAAATCAAGTTTTAGGTTAAGAAACATATGAAATGACAGGCAGTAATACCAACTGCGTTAACATGAAGTAGAGAAAGAAAGCGCTATTGTCTAAAAACCAAAAGTAATGGCGCCTTATTTAAAAAATTTAAAAGTAAAATATTGTTTACGAAACAAAATGATATTGTGTTAAATTTTTTTCACATTAATTAATAAATAAAAAAAATTTATCTTTAAAAAGTTTTAACAAATAAATTTTAATTCTTAAAATCACTGTTTTGTGATCAATAAACTAATAAAAAATTATAAATTAAATATATGTGATTGATGTAGTTTTTCTTTGGATCTATAATTTTTAGTAGAAGTTGTTCTTTTTTTAATTTGAAAAAAAATTCATCGTCAATGGACGAAAAGCTTTGCTTTTTTTGTAATAAACGAAATGATTATTTTAAAATATTATAATATTATAAAATTGAGTTTTTATTATTTAAAAATTCTTATGTATAATATATTTAAAATAAAAATAAATTTATATTATTATATAATTAAATTAACTCATAATTATTAATATTATTAATATAATATTATAATATGAATAATAATAATTATTATTATTATAAACAACTTTAATAATAATGTGATAAAATTTTTTTTCGATAGAAAATAAAAACTTTAATAATATTTTGAATATTTTAACTTTAACTGCAATGCTAATAATTTTTTTTTATTTAATATTTATAAAAAATTTTAGAGACATAAATTGTATTCTATAATTTTGGTTTATTACG